GTCCATCTTGTCCAGTCGTATCTTTAAGATAGATTGCCTTTGTCTTTCTGTTACTCTTTAAAAATCTAGTAATATCTTATTGTTAATAAGATATTTCCTATCTTTGTCCCTCATACAATATTATTTGTATATTTTGTCGTACATTTCAATCACCATCCGTACAACGTACTCCTAGTTCGAGTACACGTCATATAATTAATACATTACAATTATTCGACACAAATATATATATATATATATATATATATATATATGTGTGTATATATATATAATATGTATACGTAGTTTTTGCACGTTAAGAGTAAGAGGACAACAACAATAATGATTACAGTAGGACAAGCGATAACCTTATTCATTAACCACGACACTTAACGTGATTCTTTGTCTCGTCAATATCTCAGATTTTTCTATGACTCAGGTCTGCTTATATAAGGAAACGAAAAATGTAGCGGGCCGGTATCCAATCAGGTCCAGCAGGAACGTAAGTTTACAAACATCGTTTCGGAACTAACAACCATTAACTAGAAATCGATATCTCTCAAGGTACTCTTGCATTCAACATCGCGTAAAGCGTGCTGCGTTATACCGACCGGAAGTTGCTAACTTATATTAGTTAGAAAATTTTCTCGATCTTGATAACGCGGGACGCGATCGAACGTCGAACGTTAGGAACAAAACTAGGACGCGATATATCCGGTTCAATCGGTTTGGATTTCCGACCGACAATTACAAATTCGCCACCATTGCCGATTCGGAATCGACCGTCGCGCTGAATGGTCCGATTGTAATTCCAGGACGCGTGAAGTATTGTCTAAATGTCTAAGCAAACTCAGCAAACGTAACTGGAGAACGTGCAGTGCTGCCGTGAACGATACTGGAAATAAGCGACTTACCGAACGAATAATAACGCAAATCGATGCACCCTAAATCGGAGCGTATTCTAAAAAATTAAGCATTGACTGAAGACGGCACAATTTCGACGAGTTCAATACTTCGATAATCGCGAAAAGGAGAAAAGAATTAAAATAAGATATACCCTATGCCGATCGTCGCCGTTTCGTCGGCGCGAACAAGCATAGAGATCGCTTTCGTATTCCCGTGACATCCCGTATTTGAACTCGACGAAATTACGGTTTAACGTCGATCGCTATTCTGAAGACGCTATTCCGAGGGCGTTTCCTTCGCGTTGTGAAGTTAATCGTCACCTATAATTGGGCCGCGTGACGAGGGAAGGTTTTTGCTCGGAACGCGCGCGTTCTTGACAAGACAACTCTTCCTCGGCGCCATTCGATTAATCGCGGTGCCTCTCTCATCGCAGACCCTGAACTCGATACGTCGTCTCCCCGTCGCGGGAGTGGCGCGCGAAAACCGGTTCCTCGTCTTCGCGATTGTGTTGCGGACTGACCACAAGTAAATTCGTTAAGTGATCGTCCTGTCATGGCATCACCGCTCGTTCATCTGTCACTCCGACCTCCAGAAGAAAGAAAAGGGGAAGGAAAAAAAGAATCGGGAAAGAACAAGTCGGACAACGCTTACACTTGTGACTTCACTTCACGCACGGTCCTTTATCTTCAAGGGGTTGGGATGCCGTTCCCTCTTATGTATGTACAATAATATACTTGGGGATTTTCGGGGTGAGATTTGTCTTTCTTTCGGGGTACGAGATCGGGGCCCTACTGACCTCTGTCGCCTTCTGCGTGCCTTACGCGTTGGTAGAAAAAAAGTCACGATGATATCAATGGCAACGAAACGCATTCAGTAAAGATGATGTTTATATTGTTTCGCGAGATCCGGAGAATATAAGCCATTGAGACTCGATTGCTGCCTGACGACTGTTGCTGAATCTCCAGCAACTGAGTTTTAACGAAGCAAAATTGTGTGCGTGAACTCTATCTCAGAATTACGTCGAGATAACAATGCATTATTCGAGCAAGCGCGTTTGTTCTGCATTTTTAAATCGTTTTTAAATCGTTATTGCTTTTTAAGAGATCCGTGGAACTGTTGTCTTTCCCAGCCGAATGCGACCAATAAATTGAGTACACGAACGAATCGACGAGAAGATACATTATTTCTTTCTAAAACTAATCTACAAACGAGAAATATAATATGAAACGGACGATATTAACATGTGGTTATTAACATGAAAAAAAGAAAACTCGATCGAACGAAACGTCTCGTGCATGTAGTCAGCGAATGTCACAATTCACATCGAAATGTGAATTGTGACATTCGTTGACTATATGCACGAGACGTTTTGCGACGTATAAGGGATAGAAAGAGCAGATTGTAACAACGCGAAGAATCGAACGAATGAGACAAAAATGTCAACAGAGATTTAGTGCTTGTCTTAAAATGGGTAAGATATGAACAAAGGATTCAGGAGAAAAATCGCCACGTGATGCTTGTTGCATTTTTTAGAACCTGTGTGTATAAAGTGGAAGAAATATATTAGGGACAGAAAAAAATATTAAATATTAGAAATAAAAAAAATCTTCAAAAAACCTAATTTTTTTATTTCTAATATTTAACATTTATTCCTGTTTCTAATATTTCTCCCATAGCAGGAATTTATGTTTGAGAAGAAATGTCAAAAAAAGATACAAGGATTGCCTTATTCTCTTTTTTTGTATCCCATAAAAGAACTTTAGGTCAAATTCTATCATATAATAATATGGTAAAATGGTTGAAGAGTCCCGTTAGAGGGAATTGTATGTTAAAGATGTATGTTAAGAACGAGAATAAAAAGAATGAAATAAAAAAAAAAAGAGTCGACAAGAATAAAAACGTGAAAATGAGTTATAATTTTTACGATAAATATATTGCTGCGTTGATAGGAAAGTGATACAACTTAAAAATTATTTTTAAGATAACGAAAGGAAACCCTTGTAAAGTCTAATCTAAACTATTTGTTGAAAGACAATTTTTTATAGCTTATTTGCTTATATGAAGAAATGTCACAACTCTCATAAACGATAAAATTTATACTAAGGTTACAATGTCCATATTTTGAAAACTTATGACATAGTTTAAAGAATACATTAGAATTGAAAGTATAACATGAAAGAAGATAAATGTATAGAAATTGCATATTCACTATCCTGATCAAAATCTTACTTCAATTCAGAATTTTTAAAATGCAATATTAATGAAAAATAGCTAATTTTGAGATGTGTTACTTTTTTAGCAATGCAGCAATATTATCTTGAAATAAAATTGAGAGAAAAGTTAATTTGTTACGCATAAAATCTCTAATATCAACATTATCTTCTTGATATTTTATAAAAACAAATTCATGTGGATGTTAATTGTTATTATTTTTCAAGCAAACACTGCTTTACTTGCGATTTTCCCTTTAGCGATTGCACAAATAGAACATATGTTTAAAGTAGAAACATTAAACTGCAAATGATGCAATTCGGAATATACCTGCGTCTTTCTTCTCTCGCAGAATGGTCGAACAAAACAGTCAAAAGATAAACGAGGGCAATTTCGACTAAGTATTCTGAGCGAATTCGTGCAAAATATATTATCTCTTTTCTTGTATTTTCTTTCTCTATCCTTTCTGTTTTTTATCTTTTTATGAGATATAGAAAAATAATGATTTGTATCTCAAAGCGTTTATATATATCGTAGGAAAAGAAATTAACTGGAACACATTTTCAATTTTAAAAATATGATACGGTCCATAATGAACAATGTACCTCTAGGTGGCCTTGTAACTGGTCTAAATGAAGAATTATCTCACATAAATCAGATCCGTATTCAGAGAACCGAATGGGGGTGCGAGAGAAGGAAGCCTGAGATGAGAAAAGGTTCGGCTGCAAAAATTTTTCGTCAACGAAAATGTCATCGCGAAACTGGTTCGTACATACAAGCAGCTCTGTTGAAAGAAAAAAAAACTCTGGTTACAAAAAATGCTTAGATCTCTTTGAAAAGATTTATTACGAGACCGGGTGCGCGTGTCCGAAGGATCTGAAGGCGGAAATCGGAGAAGCGGAGATCTCGATTATGCGTACATCATTCTCTACGATCAAGGCGAAACTAGAAGAGGTAATAGAAGTGGAGATCGGTTTGAATTTTAAATCAAACCGCTCGATTACGATTACGATTTTCCAGTTTATTGAACCACCACAGACGCGGGTGATGACACTCGCTACTTTATTTTATAAAACGATGATCGTATTTGCTGATTATTAATTCAAGAACATTGACTGCATTTAGCAGAAAAAGTAGTTTTCTAACTGTTGAAAGATTCTTTAGTACAATTGGTTCTTGTTCTTAGATTTAAATGCTTTTCACTAAATCTAAATATATATTGTATAAATCAATCGTACTTATTTTACAACAATTGTAAAGTAGCTTTTTATGATAAATGCAGTCAATAAATTTGATTTTAACGGTTCATACAATCACCAAACAATCAACGTAAAAATAAAGGATGTCACGCATTTTAAAATCGTTTCTCGTAGATACATGGAACGTCTCGGACACGCGAATGTCAAATCGTTTCAGTGACTAATTGAAAGATCCGTCCGCGTTCGATCGAGATAGCACGGCCAACAATCTCCGGATAATCACGGAGGGCGAGGAAAAAAATGTAACAACATGATGTAGTAGTAGATCTGTGAAAACCCAGAACGGCGACAGTGGACTGATGGGCCGTCGTCACTCTTTCCCCGCTATTTTTTACTGTCAGAGGAACTTGTATACCAGTATATCCAATCCGAACAGCTATATTCTCTCCTCTCGTCAACGCAACGGCGCGTGCCACTTACGAGGACACACATGCTCTTCTTCTGAAACTATATACACGACAAAGACGCGGGATGCGCTTCTTCACGAGCGCTTCGAGCGTAATCCATAATCTATCACGTGAGACAATGAAGCCTTATACAAGAGAATACCGTGTAAATAACACCCTTATTATATTGCCCGATGTCAAGGACGGCACGGTAAGAGCATTGTTCACGCAATTTTCTCTACGTACCGGCGAGACTTTACTAGGAGCTGTCATCCTCTTCCGGATTAGTCTCACTGACATCGGCGTTCAGCGACGAATTATCGCTACCCCCAGAGTGCGATCCCCGCGAGAACGACTTGTTCATTGACAAGTCCTCAGGTTCCGTTTGCATTGGCAAAACAACTGGAGGAGGATTCAGCGCCATCGAGGCCGGGTATACAGGGCCGTTTCGCTCGGGGTTAATTCGAAGATGGCGAGATAATCTGTTGATTGGCGTGATGTATCTGTTGAGCGGTTCTTCTTCCGGCGCCTGCTCTGTGTCAATGTCAACATCAGCGTCAACATCGACGTATTCCTCCGAGTCGAGCTCGTCACTGTTTAATGACGGGGGTGACTCGGCCTCCGGTGGAGACTCCTGCACCGCGCCATTACTGCACCTGTGTTGCTGCAAATGATGCCGCCTTCTGAAACGCATTTGACATATCTCGCACTCGAACGGTTTCTCGTTGTTGTGTATCAGCATATGCGCCTTCAGCTGATTCGAGTCGCTGAACCTGGACGTGCACATGTCGCAAGCGTACGGACGCTCGCCCGTGTGTACACGTAGATGACGGCGGAGATTCGCCACCTGGACGAACTTTCGTTCGCAAAATTTGCATTTATAAGGTTTTTCGCCCGTATGAAGCCGCATGTGCGTCTTCAGGTGATGGTCCCGGGTAAATCTGCAAAGTCAAAGATCAAGAATCATTGGCTGAATTCACGATTTTCAATGAACGAACTGAAAGATGTCAGAACCGTACACTGAGAGAAAAATGTTTGATATTTGTGACTATAATTGCATAGTAAAATAATTATAATTAAGAGCTCTAGTTTTATAATTATTAATCTATAATGTTATGTATTAACAATATGTATTAACAATAATTATATATTTATAGTTTCATACATACCAAACCAAGACGAGTAAGTTAGCCTTTATTCGATCTAAAAATATGTGCGGTAAATCTACCTAATGATAATGAGTTTCAAAATTATATTATTATATGCGATTCAAATTAGGTATAAAAATTACTGAGAGGTTCTAACCTGACTAATTGACTCTAATAATTTTAATGACCTATAAAATTAAATTAATTTTAATCTTTGATTCTTTGGGACAGTAGTAGCTAGGCAATTTTTTGCGATACAAATGTTACTAGCATTAGATACAATAATTATAAAAATGGAACTCCTAATTTAATCATAATTACTTTATCATGCAGTTACAAGTACCAAACACTTTTCTTTTAACATCTTTCTTTGATATAAAATATCGTTTGTTTATGTCGTATATTTATTAAATCGATGTTACGTGATAATGATTCGTTTCGCGAAGATTTTGTCTGTCGTGACTTGGAGAAATCACGAGAAAAGACATCGTGCGATCGATAGTGGAGACTCACCTTTTCTGACATTCCTGGCATTGAAAAGGTTTTTCGCCCGTATGCGTGCGTTCGTGATTCTGGAGCACATGCTTGTACCCGAAAGATCTCTGGCACACTCCGCAAGTGAAGACTTTATCTTTGCCATCCTTCGTCGTCTCAGGACTAACGGAAGGACTGACCGGATCCGCACCTTCCGCCGCAGCCTCCACTTTCACTTTAGTGGGTTTCCTTTTCGCGGCGCGACCCCTCCTGACAATTCTATCGTCATCATTCATATTGTTGTTGTCATTGTTATCATTATTGTTATTATTGTTATTATTGTTGTTATTATTATTGCGCCGAGACGAGGGCTTCATATTGGGAGCCGGCGATACTTCTGACAGTGGGCGAAGAGAGGAAGGCGGCGAGGATGCGATTCGTGGTATCCAATTCCCGAAGAGATTCTGCGGAGACGCATAGAGCGACGGAGAGGCAAGGCTGGCGTGTAATACAGGAAGTCTCGCGGCTGATAGCAGAGCCATGCTCATCCTTTGATTAGCAACGATCAGCTGCTCCTGGGTCATTGGTGGTAATCTTGCCGTTGTTGGGTCGAACATAGAAAACATCCTCTGCGACGCGCTGTCAAGTTGAGTGCTATTCTCGGGATCTTGCATCATGCCCAGGTACTGACTGATCAGGAATCCTGGACTTAATGGAGAGACATATACATGCATATATAGGTATATATATATATGTGGCGAAACATACGTTAATTCGTGAAAGTACAATTACGTATAACATTTTAATGCTTAACACGTAAAATGATTATACGAAAAAAAAAACTTTATAACGATAAAGATTATTTGTCTAAAGTATCTAAAAATTTGACTAGATATCGATCTGAGAATAATTTTGTTGGACTATCAAAATAATCACGTAGCAATCATGATGAATAATGTTACGCAACATAGCAAGCATGATGAATTAACGTAGTAAGCATGATGAGTAATGTTGCAAAAAGTTTTGAACAACAAAGTTTCTAACAACCAATAATCCCCATATAATTATTTTGATCGAACAAAACTATTTTCTGTATCTATCTAAATTTTTAGATACTTCAGCAAAACCGTCCTTTTCGTTTACTAAAACACATATTTTGTCATTCGCATCTTAAGTATGGAATAAAATGTAAACGTAAATATCAAAAATATCCGTCGGCAACTCGTTATATTATCGAAACAATCCAGTGAGATTAGTGTAAACAAAAGGACAGATAAATCGTATGATTGCACGTATGTGCACGTATGTGATCTGCGAATCCAAAGACCTCTCCTCACGTTCCCACCCCTACTTTCTCACTTTTTCTCTCTTTCTCTTTCTCAGATGTTTCCCACGCTCTTTCTTCTCTTTCTTTCTGTTCCTCTCTCTTCCCTACCATTCTCAACTTGCCCTCCCACACATGTCGCTCGCACGTGAGGTGAGGTTACTGGATCCTCCTCCATTCACTCACACTCCTGACTACGCGAGAGTTCATTCATAAAGCTCCGGCTATCCACCTACGCGTCTACGACGTACCGCCTCTTCGATTCCGGGGCCAACGACTTTATCGGTGTATATACTCACGCTTATCAGAATGCCAAAATCGAAAGGGATGTCCGTCAATAAAGCTATGAGTTTGTACGATCACAATTTCCAATGGTCAAATTTAAATAATTGAGGCTTTTGTTCACTCACTTGCCCTATTATCTCAGACTATGACATCAGAAGCGAGAAAGCACACAATAAAAATTCTTGCAAATTATATTTAGATATGCATGCTTTGGAAGATAATACGGACTAAATTGAAATGAAGATTTAGATCTTGTGAAAAGTAATATCTTAAGAAAATTGTGAAAAGTTGCAGCTAAAGAAGGAGAGGAGAAGGAATAAGAATATGGAATAAGAATGCAGGACAATTATAAAAAATGTAAAGTAAACTCTGATAAAACATAATTGTTTTAAATGCAAAAACATACTCTTTTTAAATTATTTTTAATAGCGCGTTTGGTATATCACTTCATTGAAACTTAAAGTAATATTATTGAAATTAAAAAAAACTTCAAAAATTTAATATTAGCAAAACATTATTGCATTTATAATATTATGCATTGGCCATCTTATCTGATTTTTAGGCAAAAGATAGTCATGGTATTACGAAACGTTGGCCATATAAATAGGGTGGAACAGTAACTCTATCCACTTAGAATATTTCCACTATTTTTAAAGATATAAAATAATTTATTTACTGAAGAAGCATTAAGAAGGATATAATACGCTACTAATGATTTTTCTATAAGTGGAGGCGTTTCGAAGAGATTTCACCATTTTTAAAATGAAATTATAATTTTTTTATGTAATATAATTCCTCTATGTAAAAAAGGTATAGATAGAAGTATCGAAAAATTAGTAAGTAATGTACGAGATATTTAACATTTTATGTTAAAATCCACCACAATAAAGTAAATATAAAACATGTAAATAGTATTGGTTTTTTTATACTTTTATCTTAATACTTTTACATGAAGAATAATTAGAAGAATCATACTGTAAAAAAATCATATAATTCCATTAAAAAAATAGAGATCATAGAAAAACTATTATTAGTAGCATATTATATCTCTCTTGATGCTATGCAACTTCAGTAAAAAATTATTTCATCTTTAAAAATAGCGGAGACATTCTAGGTGAATAGAGTAACTGTTCCACCTTGTATAATGATGTTGCCATAGTAACATAAAAATTATAATTTTTTTAAATTAAGGAAACCAAACAAATTTCTATAATTTTTTAAAGATACAGTGTGTATGTTACTTGATTGTGAGCCATTTTCTGAACTAGGACGAAAAGATAGTCATAGTATTTATAAATAAATAGCAAAATGAAAATACAAACTATATAGGTCATATTACAATTTACGTATCTTTATTACGTAAAGTTGATTACAATAGCTTAATTGTAATTTATTCGACATTATACTAGTTTTTTTTTTAATGGACATATGCAAAATTTTGAACGTAGTCGAAAGAAAAAAAAATATCACGATTTTGTTATGCATAATTAATTTCTAGATAAATAATTATTTATTAATTAACAAATCAAAATCAGAATTTTAGATATGTTTTTTTAGTCGCGGCTTTATCGATTGTAAGTATTGTTTTGTTGAAACATATTTTCTTAAAAATATATTTTGCAAAAATTTTTATTTTGCATTTTCTCGCTTTTGATGCACAATCTGAGATAATGATGAGTGAACAAGAACCTTAAATAAAAAATTTAATTATTTGTTTTAAATATTATGATAATCTACTAACAAAAAACTGTATAATGAGACAATATTCTTTGAAATAATGTATATATAATAAGGGATATGATGTAAATTTCTATCTCTACATTAGCAACCTCGAGTATATTTCTTTTATTCTTTGATAAATATGTGCGATTAGTTCACAATCGAGCGGATACCGGCACAGGGGTAGGTTGCTGCAAATCCTTTTTTGAAAGTCAGAACCTAACCAAAAGGTTGCTGCTTCTATAGGAATTCTATGAATTGACGTCACACATTATATTTAGAGGTTTCTCTTATATAATCTTATATAATCTTATATAATAAAACAAAGAGTATTTAACGAATACGAATTCGACACTTCGATGAGCGTTCAGGCAATCGGCAAAAAAGAATATTTCCGAATGTTTTTTTGCGCTTTTTTAACGAGACAGAATCGTATGAGGAAACAATAATTAATGATGATCCACGTTCAATTATTGTAAGCTAATTAATAGATTATTTATAGAAAGTAGCGTCGTTGAATCAATAAGAGTACGGTCTCTTATTCCCCTCTTCTTTCTTCCCACTACCCTAAAATTCTCTTAACGGCGATCCTTACAGCCTACAATCGCCGTTCCTTGGCAACGCGACGTCAGGAGTACCACCCCCGCTTGCGTCTACTCCCTAATTGGTCGCAACCCTTGTAGTTTTAGCGCGAATACTCTTGGAGATACTAATACAGGCTAAACCTTAAATTAAGCTCTATGTCTGTATTTATTCGTTTCGATTCTCGCTTTGGATCTTCTTCGTTGTATTACTGATAAAATTTTTTAAGATTAATTTAATACAAGAAATGAATAAATCAGAAGGTTACACAAATATTATTAATATTAGTAAAAGAATAAATACAAAAGAATAATATTGACATAGTTTGTAAACAAATCATGGAAGTATATTATTTTTTTTCAATAAAATTATAACATTTACGTTAAAATACATTATTTTTATGTTATTTGTTCACTTACTTATAAATTGTGTCATTTTGTTACTAAAAAAACGTTGTATTTGACGTTGAAATATAACATAATCACAATAATGTATTGTTAATTTAACAATGTGATTATGTTACTTAAAGATTTTATGTTAAATTGATGTTTAACGTTTCTATATTCGTTTCAAAATAACATAATCTATCAATAAATGAATAAGTAACATAAAAATAATGTGTTAAAACATAAATTCTACAATAAATGAATAAAGTACATATTAATTTAATATATAAATGTTAATTTTATTTAAAAAAATATACTTCCAGAGTTTGTTTGCAAACTGTGTTAGTATTATTTTTTTTTGTAATTTTTTACTTAATATCTATTTTGTTTTCCAACATCTTAATATTAAATGAACACAAAAATTATTAATGGACCGTTTGGAATATATAAAATGTATTATATTTGACACAAATCTTCCAACAGTATATAATAATTGAAAGTTTAACTTTGACACTAACAGTTTAGATATTCTACCAAATACTGAAACGTTTGTTTAATTAAATAAAAACGTTTGTTTATCACTTGGATTTTTTTCTATTATTATCTTCGCGATTATTTTTTCGCGATATGTACATTTAAGTATGAAGTTCAATTTATTGGTTTATTGTATTGAGATATCATTAATTTGTGAATTTGTCAGTGATACATTCTGTGAGACTCACAAAATGAGGATCGAAACATCTGATAGAATTATTAATACAAAAATTTTTTATACACAGTTACTTGATATCGGTTCGTATTGACTTTAATTACTTGATTTAGATTTATTTCTTTGGAATCTGTATATTTTTATATTATATATTTATTCGACTAGAGAGACGAAATACAAGCAATTTTCACGACTAATAAAAATATCTACGCGAAATATTTGCTGTTCGTAAAAGTGGTAAAAAATATGCCAAAATATGCCGAATTGTCAATTTTTCAAATACAAAAATTACAATGTCGGCAAAATTTATATCAGCTGTTTTTTTTTTATTATCGGTCTTGCAATCCTTTTATAGAATTTTCTATTGTCTATTTTGTCGTAACTTTACGGTTGATCTTTTTCGCACAGCCCTGACTAGTTAAAAATTTGAAAATTTGTGTTCCTGTACCGATGTTATATATTACACCAGTTTTCTAAGTTAACGGTATCTTTTTCTGAGCAATATTTCAGATGCGGTAAAAATTGCAAAAATTGCCCTGCTTAAATCATGAAACATAAAGGTTTTTTTTGATGCTTATACATATTTCATGTCTAAAAATATAAAGTATTGTTTTGGATGACTAACGATTTTTAATCCTACAATAAGTTCCTTTTCTGCACCAGAACTTTTCTTCTACTTTTGTCAAATGTATGCTGACTTCATCACTTACACGGAAAGAATGATTTTGCTAAAGTATCTGAAAATTTAATTAAATACATATCTGACAATAATTTTGTTAAACCAGTAAAATAATTAGAACTCTCAAGCTGATTGCTATAATGTCAAAACTTTTTACGGCTATAATGCTCATTATAATTGAGAATTCTACATAACCCTTTCTTGAATTATTTTCATAATCCAAGAAAATTATTTTCAATCTAGCTAAATTTTTAATCTTTCAGCAAAATTGTTCTTTCTATGTACACACAGAAAAATGCTGTACGTAAATAATGATTCGTTTCAAGTATTTTAAATGATTATCACAACTTTATCATAAGTACTTTATCATTTTTATCATAAGTTCGTCACAAGCATCAAATTTATTCAAAATATATTCTGAATCCTAGTTAATTTAGTACTTCAATCAAAAATTATTAAATTACAAGAAATTCGATTTGTTGATTATATTGTTTGTTTGATTAATTTTATGTTTTTCAAAAAAAAATTCTTGTTTTGAATACATAATAATTTTTTTAAATTATAATAATTTCTAATATTTCGAAAATAATTTTCTGTGTATACAAAGCGTGCGTTAGCTATAAAAAAAAATGGACCTCAAGTATAAGTATCAGAATTCGAGTATCATCGTAAGATCTAACGATTTAAATACCTAACCAGAAAGGTCGAATCTCACCGGTTTAAGAAAAGCGCGATTATGGAGACACAAGGGGTCGTCACGAGAGAGGGAGAAGCGTGCCGGGCATTCCGAAGCAATAGCAGTGATTATTTTTAGATGCCGCGCGTCGCGTCGTGTCGCGTCGCGTTGCGTCGCACCGCTTCGCGAGTCATTAGCGATACGAATTTAATTTTTCCAACAATCTCTTTACCACTCCTTTCGCGCTGGGCGATTTAGCTTAGTTTCTCCGGGGACTATCGATGTTTACGATGTGTCACAACGTATGTGCGTCGTATCGTCGTAGATACTTTTAGATTCTGGCGGTATGCCAAGAAGTCGCACGACTCTTAAGAAACTACGAAATTGTTCTCTCTCTTCTCGTTTTCTATTCCTCCTCCTTCTCTCTCTTTCTCTTTCTCTCTCTATCTGTTTGTTTCTATATATATTAAAGCGCCGACGCACCACCTACATTTTCACTTTCATTCGAGGCCAACATCCGGCAGATTGTTGCCGGATGCGAATAAAAAAAGAAAAATAGCAAACAATGCGTGATCGATGTAACAACATCCCCTGTACAACAGTTACAACAGTTTTATTGTCAAATTTCGCCAGAAAGAGTTTTCGCTGGAAGCCATTTAAAAACCCGTTTGTGCAAAGAAATAAGCAATATTAAAAGCCAAAAACGGAGTCCGTAAGAGTAATAATGTATCTTCTTAATAGAAGAAGAGAAACCAAATTGCATTAAATAACGTTCCGTTGAAAACAGAGAAGAGTAAAATTTCTAAATGGCAAGCAAATAACAGCAAATTTATTGTAATTTCCTAACGGAAGGGTATATTTTCAGTTTGTGCAAAGAAATAGACAATATTAAAAGCCACAAACGAAGTCCGTAAGAGTAATAATTTTTCTTGATAAAAGAAGAGAAACCAAATTGCATTAAATAACGTTTTGTTGGAAACAGAAAAGGGTAAAATTTCTAAATGCCAAAAGCAGCAAATTTCTAAATGCCAAAAACAGCAAATTTATTGCAATTTCCCAACGGAAGAGTATATTTTCGGTTTCTCTTCTGAGACTAAAGGGATACATGCAATTTTCATGGTTTACCCAAAACTAAGTTTATGCAATTCTACACCGACAAAGAAAAAGAAAGGATACCTTTGTAAATCTGCACTTCGCACATACAAGACAGTGCCATGCTACGGTAGTCCGTACGGTTGTTTCCAGTTGTTTCTCACTTTGACATTTCGCCCGGTCTTCTTCTGGAGCACAACGTGATCATCACTCGCGACGAGATGCAGAAACGGAGGCGCGCTGCCGCGACGCGAAACTGCACCAATGGCTGCGTGATTAAAAAACGAATGTCGCTATCAATCGTTCTCGTTTGTTTCCCCGTGGTAGAAGATGCATCCGAGAGAGATTCAATAAAATAAAAATCAGCACAAATGAATATCCGACATACTCCGGTACGTCGATCACGAGTGAGATATCTAATGTACTGTTCAAGTATATCACGAGGATAACGCGTTCTTAGTTGATTGATTACTAAGCTAAGGTATAACTGGACGAACGAGCAAAAATCGTGCTACGGTCGTACGAACGACCGACAACTATTAACGAACGATGTAAACCTCGGGCTGACCTAACCCAATACTAAGTGACAACCGAGTCGCTCGCTGGTAGTCAAACATCCCCCACCCCTGCTGCCGCCCCACTCGAGCCGCTCATGTTCCCCACCAGGCGTGCGCTACCCTCTCGGCCTCTCGAATCGCAACCCCGGATGCGCGAGTTGCTGGGACGTGCGGGTTAGTCTGTGCGCGGAAGATGGAGTACGAGGAGGGAGAGAAAAGGTAAGAAATAAGTTCTCCAAGGGAGAAAGAGAGAGAGAGAGAGAGAGAGAGAGAGAGAGAGAGAGAGAGAGAGAGAGAGAGA